TTCCGTAAGACTTGCCACCAGAATGACAAACAACACAAGTTTCCATACTGGGGATTGTGAATAAATACGTATGCATTTGGTACTCCGGTAATTTGAAATCATAGGGACTAGTTGTCCAGACGAGTTCTCTTTTAAAATCGGTGAATTTGCTTACTCTATATCTAATTATAGTAACCAAGTTTTTTCCCCTTCGCAGTTCACAGGAGCAGAAGATGGGAGGTAAATCAAAATGGCACAAGAGGTGAGCATACTAACTACCTAAACTTTGCAACTTTACCGGATGCTCCACAAGTTTACTTATTTTAAACCTTAGACTTAAATTTTTAATAGTTTTTTGAATTTAGTTTAACCCCTTTTGTGTTTCCTTGCAAGACGTTATTCGTGCCATTTGCATTCGACTGGCAATATTGTACCACTCCAAGTTCGGATGCTCGGATGCTGCATATGGCTTTGCAGCATTTTCGCAGTGATGAATCAGAATCCTGAAAATCTGGTACTGTACTGTGAAGCAAATGAGTTTTTTGGCCATAGTCGTTGACACGTTACAATTGCGTAAAACCGACCTGTTTTGCCTGATGAATCATGTGGGTACGGCTTTGGCCCGTTCACACCCGAACAGGGTAGGCTGTGTGTTTACGTAAGTGACATTTGAACTAGTTCACGTTTAAATGTTCTTCTGGCGCATCGCGGAACTTAAAATACGCGGTTCCTAATATGCTGGGCCACTCCAACGAGGCCCCTCATTACGCAACTAGGAAGATAACTAATGTAGCCGGTTGTTAAAAGATTATTTTGTTGCATTACCATGAGTGGTAGCTGATTCTGCTCACCGCACAATTACATTTTGGTTTGATTAAATTCCTATTCAGTTCTTGTCATCCTAGCCTCATGCACTTCGTGATGTCAAGCGCCAAGAAATCGCTCGATTAAAGATTAGACCTGGAGATGCCGAAATCCACATGTATTTTTGCCTAAAACTGGAAACATCACGACTAAGACCTCTGACTTTTTCTCTTTTTGGATTTAAATAGCCTTGCCTTTATTCAGGATCGCGTGCTTTTATCCCACATTCGGCGTGCTTTTAATTCGATCCTACTTTGATGTTTGCTCAGTGTTTTTGTAATGATACGGTCAAAGAAGCATGATTTGAGTGCCATTTGCTTGCAATACTCATTCCTAGTCGTTGGCGGGAACATCTAGAAACCGAGTTGCGTAGTTACCCGACAACTTCATGCAACTGCTCGACACCCATGCGAATTAAATATCAATGCAGGAATAATGATTTTTAAGGCATGAGGCTCAAGTGAGATGTTGCTGGCAAAAACCAGTCTCCTGCTTATTTATTTCTACTGCTAATGCGATTCAACTGCCCTAATAAAAAAATAGCCCTCGTTACTTTTAAAATTCTGACACATCCTTAAAACAATTGCGTTACTGTTACTTTGCCATGGAAAACTAGTGCAGTGTGTGCGTCACCGATGCAAGCCTTTGCACACTTTCGTCCATTCATTATCTTCGTTTATGTTTTCCTGACCTCCAAGCATTGAAAAGGCCCACTCACCTGCCGCGAAGTAGATCTTAGCCTCTTGGACCCACTAGTGCACCAGGAAACCGAAATGAGACTTTCGAGGTGCTTAAGTATCTAGGCGTCTTCCTTGAATTATCCTGATACAAAGCCCTCAATTTCTTAATGTCCTCCATAGAATTTTACACAATCATTCTCCTGCTCTGAAAGTCAACTCATCTTTGCTGCATTATACCCTCAACTTCACGCCGTGCAATATTTAACTGTATCTTCTGCCGTAGCCTTAAAGATGACCTTATAATATGACAACTAAAATGATTAAAATGGTTAACTTCCAACAAAAAATGATGGTGTGAAATGCACAATCAGTAAGACTTTATTGAATCCACGGGCTTTCTAAAAATCTGCATGTGTGGCTTTAAAAAAATTATGCAGCTTTTACGGCCACTATTGCAATGAAGATACTATTTACATTCGCTTCTTATTACAAAATACATGATGGCCTAATGGACTTGTGGTTGTACTAATGTATAAAATGAGTAAGTCAGTTACAAAAAATCAGCAATTGGAGGTTGATGTGGTCTCTGCTTTGGTATTCGCGGAACTTGCGTTCTTGTATGCCACACGAGGATCTATAAGAAAATGACAAACAGGAGACGATATTATTAAAATTTTGAAGATATGAATTATCCAATATCGACTGCACGATTACCATTCCTCTGTAGCCACATTCAAAGCAACAAGACTACAAACTCTCTCTCAACTACCAAAAGCATGCTCCCAATCCCAAGTTTTACCTCGTGGGTGGCAGTGACTAACTTAACATCTCACCTAAAAGCGGTGACTCCGTTTCATAAAACAATAAAAGAAATAGAAGACCGTACATTCGGTTGCCACAACTGGGCAACGTTCTGTTGACATCGTCATTGGCCATCCATCTGGGTTGCACAAGTGAACTTTGATCCACAAGTATGCACAGTGCTGCAGCACATTGAAATGTGAGCAAATCAGGCCATGCATTTACAAGTTATGTCGAATTTCGACCATCGAAGGGGTTCATTAGAACGCCCAACTTAATTCTTCCAAACCGCATAAATTTGGATTGCTGTAATTTCAGCGCTTTCATCTTCGTTTCAATCGAAATTTGTAATTCTTTCCCCATTCTACCGGTTCGAACGCCATTTTTGTGAATCATTAAATTAAGCAATCCATCAGCTTCTTCTTATGACACAGCCCACTGCAAACTACCCTACATCACTTAAGAATGTACAATCATTAGCCTGCCTAGAGAGGGTGCGAATGCGACTCCGAATTCGCATGCATCACATCCATTAAAATATGCCATAAAGGGCACCTTTTATTCAAAACTTGCATCAAACTAAAGTCGATTGTTTATGCTCAGGGCATAGACAAAGCATGCCGGATTCAGTTGATCACTTTGATACCTAATTCCATCTATTCGGCTCACTTCACGTTTTTCGTATCTGAAAGTTTTCACCAGCAATGTAGGCACTGGCTTCATAGAATCTCTAGTAGCAACATTTAACTTATGTGTTCACGGCCTACCAAGTAATTTGATCGAAGGCAGTTCATTTATAGCCTGCTGTACGATGATAAACTTTTACACGTGATGGTTCAGGCATGTCAAGCAAGATAAGTTTTCATCCAGCATGTAGAATGCAAGTGACTTATTTCAGAAAAGCCAATTTAACACGATAAGGTGATCGAGCCAAGTGAGTAAGCATCAAACCGACAAACGTTGTCTTTGTTAAAACTTCTTCGAATGTTGCTTATAAAGTGGATTTCGCGACGCATTAATCGATGTATTGGGACTGAATTTCAAGAAAAGTAAACTTCTCAGTCAAAGAAGAATGTATTCTAAAAAATAGGAAAATTTAACACCTTTTAAGCGGTAAGACTGCATTCCGACTCATTGCATTGGAGCTCGGTTTTGTGCAAATACGTTTACCCGAACCCATCATCATTAAAGCAAGTAATATTTCACTAGCACACACCGCAAAGGTTTCATCTACGCATGGCTCTATTAAATAAAGTCTTCTGCCTTTGGCAATAACCCTGAGTTTGGACTAGTTCAGTTTATTTTAGCAGCCTTAAAAATTGCAAAAGCTCCAAAATTTAAGGGATCGTTAGATCTGACTTACTTTAGAGCAACCGTTGGCACGGGGTTCAAGTTCGAGAGCAGACTTGAAGCCAACCTGAGAAAGTAGAGTGCCTTCCTGCTGTTCCACGTGCTTGTAGTCGAAGGATGCGTTGGGGTAGGTAAAAAGGAGGTCCACGTTGATGGCAAAGGCGGCCATGTCGATTGGGAAACTTCGTCGTGGTTTATAGCCAGCCCAAAAGCCCACAATTCGTGAGGGCTCGCCAGGCGCAGTGATACAGCCTTCCCAACTACTCCCTCCCACTATCCCTACCGGCCAAGTGGCACCTTGGCGCAAATTGCGCATCTGCAATGCACAAGAAAGCTCAGAGATGGAAATCAGCCTATGCTTAGTTCCTCCTTTCGACGCTGGTCTTCTAAGAAAGTATCACAAAGTGATCACCTACTTTTCTCCTTATTTCAGTAATCACATTCCTTTCCTTACAAAAATAACTTATTTTCCTCCAAGGTCACACATGTTTATAGTCCTATATTTTACTTCCATACTAGTCAGCATACAACTTATGCGTTTATCTAAATACACTAGGATGGGGGAACTGAAACAACTTACTCCTTTCGCCGTTTACGATGAGATCCTTAAAGCGTTTTGCTTCAATGTTGCACAAATCAAAATCTCTTATGGGCATGGGTCCTTTTTGAAGCGTAGAAGACAATGTATTGCGGACTTTTACGTGAAGAATTCAAGAGGACGAATTTGGAATGCATAAGACCATCCAAAGCTCATAAAATTCTGCGTTTGAATCACAAGGGAATTCCGATTAATGAATCAGTTCTGAGCATACCAAGTATTAACAACAGAACCATGCCACCATGAGATCAAGGAATTGCGTATGACCAATGCGTAGCCGAAAAGCTTTGAACAACCTGATAAAACTCCTAGTAATAATGGCCACTGAAATTTACCGACGCTGTTCAAAGTCATTTTTTGGTCTTGTGTCAATTGCTATGGGGATCAAGAATCGTTTTATTTTTTGAACTTATTTAAAAAATCTACAGAGCAAATTTTTGATTGTATCATTCTATTTGAGACGAAAGTGCTAAATAAACCAAATAATAATACGTTTGCATTCGAACACCAAGAGAGCTCCCACCATCACCCAGGCATTCATTCCAGTGGACTCCATTGTCAAAGTGAGGATGCATGCAATACTGTAACGTAGTGCATCACTCAGTGGTTACTACGACCTATCAGATATTCTGACAACTAAGCAAATGGAATAAGAGCAGGTATTCAATGATTGGCACCGTTTTGTTTCGTCCCGCCTAGACTCTGTGACCTAGGCCCACTAATTCTGCAACCGCCATTTTCGTCTATTGATGCATTCACTAAAAAACCAACCACACATTTTTACAAAAGTGACTTTAAGAATAAGCAGCCTGAGCATCTCAATCGACGAAACAACTCTGTATGGGTATTCTACTAACAAAAATCTATTTGGAAGGCAGCACTATAGCAAGAAGTAGTATTTTTTGCTTCTCATTCGAGATGCCTTCTACGGAGACCCTATAGTTCCCCGACCTATGACCTAATCGATATTCAGGCACTTTTATGAAATGAAAGGAAGGAAAAAAGCTGTGTGAAATTTATCGTTTCATCAAATAGTGGAAATGGATGAATCTGTTAAACTATTCTCAGACTCATCTTAAACGTACCTCATTTTTAAAATTCAATAGCGGCAGAAAATACTCTGAAAATCCTAGGGATAGTAGGTGGTGCTTTGATATGGAAAATGCTGATTTAAAATGAGAAATTTGAGCCATTCAAAGGTGTTATCAATAACGAGTCCTAATTTCGGTTAGAAAGTAGACCATGTGAGACAGTACCACGCTGTCAAACGACACTTTAATCACATCGGTAACAATTAGTTTCATTGAATCATACAATCATTAGTGCACCAAATTTAAGCACTGAAAGGATATTTTGAACTCAGCTTATTGGAATACGTGCGCGGTCTTCCAAATTTCACATCAAAAAAGCAAAACTAAAAGTATCGTAGAGAGAGAAGAGCATCGCCTATTAGCTGCAAATAAGTTGCCTCTCGATTGAAAAGATAAATAAATTTGATGAAGGTCACTGGCCTTTCGCTGCCAACACCCCAAATATGACCTCGCGACGCGGTTTCTCACTTACCTCCGATCTGTTCGCCTTTTCAAATGTATACCTAAGTGCCTTAAATTGTTCTGCATCCAAAAAACGTCTCAATAGAGTAGTAAACTAGTCGAACTATTTGGCGCGGATCTTACTTTAAAGGACAGCATGACAACAGGCAACATCATGCCATGGAATAAGTGACGACTATTGCCAACGCCATGACTAATATACCCTTTCCTAATCGAAACCAAACAAGGCAGCATAGCCAACGCTATGGGCATCCAGGGTAAACGTGTCATGATTTGGTCAAAATGGCAGTGTTTTGTCGATCTTTATGGAAATTTAAATTCAAAAAAACCCCTTATTTATTTACAACGGCACCTAAACAAAATTTGTATGAATAACAAACACCTTCATGTCATATTTTGTGCAGTCATCAAAGCAGGATTATTGGCGAAAGTATAGTAAGAGATTTTTTTCTTTTTTGTGCGGCATACGGAACTTCTCATTCTGATAGTATGAACAAGGAATAGAAACAATGCAGAGGGCACAACTAGTTCTTGAAGCAAATGTCACCTATAATGACACATTAACTTTAGTACACGATTCGCCATAGCAGAATAGTATTGTAATTGAAAACATTCCACTAGATAGAGGCATTTCCGTTTCCATACTAAAAGGCATGGAAAAAGCTATATATATATATATATATATA